TTAATGCATGCCAGTTTTTGTGTTTGTGTTTTGTGTATTTGCTAAATTTATTAGCTTTAATAGTTTTGTGAATCTTTAGGATTATGTATGCAAGTTCATAGTGTCTGCAAACATAACTTTACTTCTTCCTTTCCAACTTGAATTTCTTGTCTTATTGCCTTGGTTCGAACTTATGTTGAACAGAGGTGATGTAAACAGAGTAAAACTCCTACTTTATTCTTCATGTTAAGGGGAATTCTTTCGACTTGGATCACTGAGTATGACGTCAGCTATATGATTTTTTTTTTCATACCAAGCCTTTGTCATGTTGAGAATGCTGTCTTCTGTTTTTTTTTTTATTAAGAAATTTTTTCCTTTTTTTTTCTTTCTTTTCTTTTCTTTTCTTTTTTTTATAGGTTGTAGGGCTTGAACTCTGGGCTTGGGCGCTATCCCTCAGGTCTTTAGCTCAAGGCGAGTGCTCTACCACTTGAGTCACAGCGCCACTTCTGGTTTTCTAGTGGTTTATTGGAGATAAGAGTCTCAAGGCCATTTCTACCCAGGCTGGCTTTGAACTGCAATCCTCAGATCTCAGCTTCCTGAGTAGCTAGGATTACAGGTGTGAGCTACCAGCGCCCGGCTTTCCTTTCTTTTTCAAAAATATGTGTGCTGGTACTGAGGCTTGAATTCAGGGCTCCATGCCCTTTCTAAGCTTTTTCTTTCATGGCTGTCACTACCACTTGAGCCTTGCCTTGTCTAGCTTTTTGCTGGTTAATTAGAGCAAAATCTCACATATTTGTCTTCCTATGCAGACTTCGAACTTAGATCCTCTAGGTCTCAGCTGAGATCCTCAACTTGTGGGTAGGGATGGGAGCCTCCTTGAGTTTCTTTTTATTCAAGGCTAGTGCTCTACCATTTGAGCCTCAGTGTCTTTTCTGAGTAGTTTATTAGAAATAAAGATCTCATAGACTTTCCTGCCCAGACTGGCCTTGAACCATGATCCTCAGATCTCAGCCTCCTGAATAGTTAGGGTAACAGGTGTGAGCCACCAGTGATTTTAATGTTTTAAATTTAACATTTTTCGGGCTGGGAAGTTGGCTCAGTGGTAGAGCGCTTGCCTTGCATGCCTGAGGCCCTGGGTTCGATTCCTCAGCACCACATAAGCAAAAAGAGAAAAACCGGAAGTGGCGCTGTGGCTCAAGTGGTAGAGCGCTAGACTTGAGCTGAAGAGCTGAGGGACAGTGCCCAGGCCCAGAGTTCAGGCCCCATAAGCGGACCCCCCCCCAAAAAAAAAAAAAATTAACATTTTTCATGTCTTAACACATTGTCCTGGAAAATGCTTCCTTACTGACTGTTCGGTTATTCTCTCTAGTGTTGTTTTTATTATTGCAGAAATAGATATTTTTCCCTTCAGCTTTAGCCATACTTATTTGTATAATTTTCTTTTTGGCAGTACTAGGCTATGAACTCAAGTTTTTATACTTAGTAAGCCATTGCTATTACCCAAGCCATTCTTTTTTTGGGGGGGGCGGGGTCTGGTCGTGGGGCCTGAACGCTGTCCCTCAGCTCTTCAACTCAAGGCTAGCGCTCCACCACTTTGAGCTACAGCACCAATTCCGGCTTTTTTCTTTTTGCTTATGTGGTGCTGAGGAATCAAACCCAGGACCTCAGGTATGCAAGGCAAGCATTCTACCACTGAGCCACCTTCCCAGTCCCTACCCAAGCCATTCTGTGAGCCTTTTATGCTCACTTTTGCCTAGACCAGCCTGGACCCCAATCTTGTTTCTGCTTTTCATCCCATGACTAGTATGACAGCCTTTTCTGTTGACATGGGGTCTTTTTAACTTTTTGTACAAGTTGGCTTGAAATGGTGATCCTCCTTTTCTTTCCCCCCTCAGTATCTGGGATTAGAGGTATGAGCTACTGCACTTGTCATAAAATTATTTTTAAAACACTTTGTGAAATCATCTTATTTTGATCTCCCCATAATCCTTTGAGGTAGAGGATATGATCCTCTATTTACAATTGTGGCCAAAGACAAATTTCAGTAGCTGGAAAACAATTGATATTTTTTTTTCCCATTTTTCGAATGAAGGCTGGAAGAAGATAGTTTATGTAAATCCACAAAGCTGATTTGCTCCCAAAGCCAAGACTAGCACTCTAGACATAGTGATCTGCCTTGGTTATACACACAACCAGTTCCATTTAAACTAAAATAGTCATAAATAACTAACAAAGTCATCAATTCCATTTCGCCTAATACGAGGATTCATAGAAAGAAATCTGTTCATAAGCATAAAGAGCCATATCTTTTTCTTCCTTGCCAGAAAGCAATCAAAACCACGAAGTCTGGTGATCCCTAGGCATTTGCATTGTGTAACAGGCTTCAGATGAGTTGCTTTGGTCAGATTGTGAGTCATATAGAAACCCAAATACTTCAGCTTCCTCCCTCCCAATTAAAAACTTCATATAAACGAAGGGATTTTGTTTAACATGGGGACACATACATTATCGTACATGTAGATAACATTCCATTCATGGCTTGCTAGTACTTTTCTTCTATTTAATTGGAAACAAATTAGGAGTTAAATTCTCTTCTTTCCTTTGTAAGTGTGTGTTTATGTTTTGTACTGGTACTGGGACTTAAACTCAGGGCCTAGGTGCTGTCCCTTGGCTTTTTCCCTCAAGGATGGTACTCTGCTACTTGAACCACATCTCTACTTCTGGATCTTTTAATTTTATATATTTTTGTCTTTCCCTGTTTGGTACTAGTGAATGCTCCCTAGAGGTTGCACTTGCTAGGTAGTGCTTTACCATTGAGCTACACCCAGCCCTACTTCTAGCTTTTTGTTGGTTCATTGGAGATGAGAGTCTCTGAGATTTTCCTGCCTAGGCTGGCTGAACTGTAAACCTCATATCTCAGCCTCCTGAGTACCCAGGATTACAGGCATGAGCTACCAGTCCTGTGTAGTAATGAATATTTTTATTTTCATTATTTTCATCTTTGTGAACATAACAAAGATGGGGATTCAGGGCTGCCCTGGTTTTCTGCTACCTGCGGATGCTTGGTTTGTGATCTTTTCCTGATGAAATATAGACAGATTGGAAGGATGGCTTCTCCTGTGCTGTGCATTCAGCCTACATGTGTAGGACTGTAAGGTATGATTGTAGAGCATAGTAATTGTCAAACATGTTCCTCAACAGATCTACAATTCCTGAACTCTGTAAAACCTTATTATGATGGTATTATGTTTGTATTATTACCAGTCCTTTCAGCGATGTGTTCAAAGAGTCAAGACTCGAAATTCTCATAACAAGACTGTTGAAAATGGAACCTAGACCAAATGGTCTCAAGAGTCTTGGCCTGTCATCTGTCCCAACCAAATGCCTGGCCATGTGTTATGTGCTATGCTGGAGAGCAGTATTTGGCCAGCCTTGTTACCTCTGCTGAGGCTCAGCTAGCCTTCTTCTGCCAGAGGAGGTGGACAGTGAAACCAGGGAACCAAAGAAGGAGGAGGACAGAGAAACTAAAAGGGATTAGTAAGCTTGAGTTTCCTAAATGGTTCAAGGGCTAGCTGAATTCCTGGGAATGTGTGGATCTTCTTAATATTGTATTTTTAGAAGTTTCTACCTTAGCAGGTTTGGAGAAAGACAGAGAGAGCTGGGGGAGGGGGAGAGGGAGAGGGGGAGAGAGAGAGAGAGAGAGAGAGAGAGAGAGAGAGAGAGAGAGAGAGAGAGAGAGAGAGAGAGAGAGAGAGAGAGAGAGAATGTGTGTGTGTATGTGTGTGTGTGCGCGTGTGTGCGCGATGTACAGAGTAGACAGGAATAAGAGTTTACTTGGGCCTCTTCTTCACAGTAATATTTTAAAATGTTCATTAGTGGTAAGTTTTCTCTAAATTTATTTTAATTTATTGTTTTGATGCTGGGGTTTGGACTTAGCCTTCTGCTTGCTAGGCAAATATTATACCATTTAGCCACTTCGTCCAACCTCTTTGCTTTTACTTCTATTTTTTAGATAGAGTCTTACGATTTTGTTTTGTCCAGCCTTGGACCAAGATCTTCTTGCTTCCACCTGTAGAGTACAGTGCATCACAGCCATGCATCTGTACACCTGACTTGACTATTGAGATAGGGTATTGCAGACTTTTTGCCTGGGCTAGGTATCAAACTGTGATTCTCCTATGTCTGCTCCCTGAATATTTGGTATTATATAAGTATGTACCACCATATCAGCCCTGTATGTGATTTAATTTTATACCTATAGAGAGCTTTTACAATGAAAGTTCAGAGTTATTTACAAAGAAAAGCGTTTATCTGACTAGGTGCACCTGATTCATTTCCATTCATTACTGCTTTAGGCTAGGGACCATGGTAAACACTGAAGAAACTAAATCAGTTCTCTGTCAGACTTTTACCCAAATATAGGCTACTATGTGATTAGTGTGTAATGTTTCCTGGTGCTACCCAGGTGGTTATGGGAAGGGCCTTTGAATGAATACAAGGAAATAGATTCTACCATTGGGTAGAGGACAGGGAGGAAAGGGACTGAGGATTAAAAAGTGTCCTGTCACTTTAAGAAGGACGTCACTAAACCAATCTCACTTGCTTTGTGTTTCCTTATTTATTTTGTACTGGTACTGGGGCTTGAACTCAACCCATGGGTGCTGATCCTTTGCTATTTCACTAAAGGCAGGCACTTTACAACATGAGCCATAGCTCCACTCCTTACTTTTGCTGGTTTAATTGGAGATAAGAGTCTCATGGACTTTACTGCCCTGGCTGGCTCTGGGTTGTGATCCTCAGATCTCAGCTTCTGAGTCTGTAGGATTACAGGCATGCCTCCAACACTTCTTTAACTAGTATTTGTAGTTTCTTGGGCTTTCTTCATGTAAATTCATGAAAAACAACTTGCCACCCACTCTGAGCACTCAGCCCTTCCAGATCCTCCTGTCTGCCCTTAGTGACATAAAATCCATGTAGAAACTGTGTTGACTTTCTATGTCCCCTGTCCTTTCCCTTTGCAGATTATTCCTCTGCTGTTCAGAAGTTTTCCCAGACACTGCATTCGTTCCAGTTTGACTTCATTGGGGACACTCTGACTGATGATGAGATTAATATCGGTAAGTGGACATGCATCTCCTGACTGACACTATGCAGCTCCCTGGATATGTGCCTCCCTCTTGTTCCAGTACCTGCATAGGAAGGATTGGGGCTGCTGCCCTTGTTATCTTCCTATACAACTGATTAAGTTCTCCTAAGGACCACTGAGGCCTCTGCTGCAGTCAATCAGCAGGGGGACTTTGCTTTAAATCAGCAAATATATGAACATTTGTATTTTCCTAAAAGATACAGTGATATTGTGTGTGTGTGTGTGTGTGTGTGTGTGTGTGTGTGTGTGTGTGTGTGTGTGTGTGTGTGTGTGTGTGTGTGTGTGTTCATGCAAGTAATGGGGCTTGAACTCAGGGCCTCATATTCTCTGCTTGGTCTTTTTTCAAGGCTGGTGCTCTACCACTTGAACCAGAGTTCCACTTCTGATTTTTATATAGTTTTTTTTTTTTTTTTGCTGGTCTGGGGCATGAAGTCAGGGTCTGGGCACTGTCCCTGAGTCTCTTTGTGCTCAAGGCTAGCACGCTACCACTTAAGCCGCAGTTCCACTTCCTCTACTTTTGATGTTTTTGCTGGCTAATTGGACATTAGATCACTTAGACTTTCCTGCCTGGACTGGCTTTGAGCCATGATCCTCAGATCCCAGCCTCCTGGGTAGGTGGGATTATAGGCGTGAATCACACCAGCACTTGGCATGGTTATTTATTTGTTTGTTTGTTTGTTGTCAGTCATGGGGCTTGAACTCTGGGCCTGGGCACTGTCCCTCAGCTTCAGCTCAAGGCAAGTGCTCTACCACTTGAGCCACAGCGCCACTTCCGGCTTTTTTTTTTTTCTGCTTATGTGGTGCTGAGGAAATGAACCCAGGGCCTCAGGCATGCAAGGCAAGCGCTCTACCACTGAGCCACCTTCCCAGCCCCCTGTGCATTTCTCTTAATGTAGCAGTTCTTCTGCCTGTGAATGTCAGCCTTCAGGTGTATGTACCTTCCGCTCCATAAATTCCGACTTTCGCTGTTGAAGCATCTGATGAACAGGTCCCCATTTGCCTCATCCTTCCTGTTGAACTTTTTGCTTCAAACTCACCCCCTCTGAACCTTACTGCAAATGATAGTGCAAATCAGTCAAGGAAAAAAGAAATATGTGCACTTGAACATAATGACTTATACACCAAATGAAAATGACTCACCAGCACTGCCAGATTCCTTGGCATACTATTGGTTGTGACATCTTTATCTGTCAACCTCAGATACAAACAGAGGATTGTCTTCCCATTGTTCTAAGGGAACTGACTCCATGAATGATGACAGAACAGTGATGTTTTTTCCACTGTGCTTGTTCAACTGGTCATGTTGAAAGCTGGGACTAGAGGTGGCAATAAGAGGAAGAGCCAGTGCTCCAGCTGTTGAAATGGATATTCTTTGGAGGCTTTGAGAAGAAATCCTGCAGGCCTACTTGGAGGCTATGTTGGGAAAGAACCATTGTTCTGCGTGTCCATTGGACCTTGCCCTTCAGGAACCAATACGACTGGCATTCCTTCACTGCATGCACCAGTGTTTTTCCAGAGACAAGGTGCATGCACAGTTAGGAAGATACTTGGATCTGAGCTTTGAGATTTCTCATTATATGCTCACGGGGCCTTTCCCCATAATGGGCTTCTTCAAGAGTTAACTCAGGCTGGGAATGTGGCTTAGTGGTAGTGTGCTTGCCTAGCATGCATAAAACCTGGGTTAAATTTCTCAGTACCACATAAACAGAAAAAAACCAGAAGGGGTGCTGTGGCTCAAGTGGTAGAGCTCTCGCCTTGAGCAAAAGGAGCTCAGGGACAGAGCCAAGGCCCTGAGTTCAAGCCCCAGGCCTGGCAAGAAAAAGAAAGACTTAACTCAGAAACATGAAGTCTGTTGTAGGGAATTTTTCAGCAGAGATGGCTGTGATTCAGTAGCCTTTGGGAAAAGCCTGAAAGCTCAAGGCTTCTGTGAAGAGGTCCTATCCTTGGAGATCAGCTGTAGGAATTGCCCTTGACTTTTTCATGTCTAATAGGGACAGACCATGTCTCATTTCGCAGACCGTGACATTTGCCATTGCCCTAGAGCAAGACATCTGTACTTCAATTGGCACTTCCTGGCCTTTTCTTTCTCCCTATGGGGCTGAGTAGCCAAAGAAAACACACATGTTTATGGAGTCTTTTTACCTTTTTAATGGAGTCTTTTTACATTTTTTATTGTGTTTATGGAGTCTTGTATCTGCTTCTGATTTGAGCTTTATTTGTTAGCTATGGGATCTTGGCAATGTTTTTTGGAATCATTGAGCCTTTATTTCCCTCTTCTGTCAAGTGGGGGATATAATCTGCTTCTTGGGGCCATGAAGAATGGATGAAATAATGCCTATGCATGAGTATATATAAATCAGGTAGCTCAGTGTCTGGTATGTACTTGGTGCTCAATAATTCAGTTACTATAGTTCAGTAATTCATATAAAAAGTAATAGTTGTTATATCATATATACCACATAATGCTGATCTATCCTTTAGGAAGGTGATAGATACTCACTTGAGAGAAGAGACATTCATTTGAAATTATGCTAGTCAAATTAGCTATGAAAGGAAAACACAGAATTATAAAATGTCTCTGATAGCTGGACCCTTAAAAATTGTCTACTTCTGTTTCTTTTTTTTTCCTTAATAGTACTAGGGTTTGAACTCAAGGAATTATGCTTGCTAAGCAGGTACTCTGCCACTTGAGCCAGGTCTTCAGCCCCTGGTTCAGTTATTTCTAATAGAGCTTTGTATCAGAAACAACTAGACATATTGAACCAGTCTCAGGACTTGCTTAGTCCAAAAGAATTGGAATCTTAAAAGTGGAGTTGTGGAGCCCAGGGTCCTGATGGACTGGTTGTACAGTCATCATGGTGTCAGTGGGCATAATGGACCTCTATGGCACAATTCATGCTCTTTTAAACTGTGCTTTTGGGTCCTCAAACTCTCCCACAAACCCAAGTTCAAACGAAGAAGATGTTTATATTGGATTTTCAAGGAAGAATTTTCTTGAAGAATGAAACTTGCAGATTGAAAGAGGAAAAGAAGATGATACTGTTAGAGTGCATACTGACTACATTCCCATAAACTAATAGGAAGATGGGAAGGAAGGGGGGAAGGGGAGAGAGGGAGAGGAATAGGAAAAGGGAGAGAGAGAGAGAGAGAGAGAGACTGAGACCAGTGTTAGGGAACTGGTTGTGGAAGGTTCCAACATCTGGATAGTAACAGGTATATCACTGGAACAGGTGTCTCTTAAAGCTCAATTGAATGAACTGCAGGAAATGGAAACAAGAGGTTTTTTGTTTCTTTTTGTCTTGTTTGTTCCTTTATCTCTGTTTTGGGGTAAGGAGGGCATGGAAGTGGGGGGGACAAAGTGAAGAAATGTGTCAGTGGTACTCACTAGACACTAATTTGAAAATGAACTATACAATTTATGGTTGGGGACTGGAAGGAAAAACTGGGAGTGACAGAAGGGGTGACATTGTCCAAGATGAAATGTGCTCATTACCTGACTTATGTAACCGTAACTACTGTGTATATCACCTTTCTAATAACAAAAAAAATTTAAAAAGCTCAATTGGGTCATTCAACACATTTTTAATGATTACCTATAAACCATGTTATCAATTAGATAAATTTGAAGAAGAGCTTTAGACAAATGACTATTCCAAAATAGTCCCAGCAGCTCTAAAGAAGAATGATTGCCAAATGAGCTTAAGAGAATCAGCTTCAAATCTTTAATGAAAGGCATTTATTTGTTCATTTGGAAAGAGATGGAGAGTCTACTAAGTGCCATAGACCAAGGTTTCAGAGACACAGTGCACATCTGCCTGGAAGGAACTCATATACAGGAAGGAGGTAGCTGGGGAAATAGACAATTACTTCCAATATCATGTGCTAAGTACTGTGGTAGAGGTAAGCATGTGGTAGTGCCTAATCCAGATTCTGTGTGTGTGTGTGTGTGTGTGTGTGTGTGTGTGTGTGTGTGTTGAGAGGAAGGTAATGGACAGAGGAAGCCAGAAAGGCTTCTCAAGAGAACTGACTTCAGAGTCCATTCCAGAGCCAGCTTGAGGCTTTCAAGTGGCTAGAGCTGAGATTTAAGGAGACCCTCACTTTGGGGTTTATGCAAGTGCAGGTTGACACCGAGAATGACTATGCTTCCTTCATTGTTATGGCTGAGAATCCTTGCTTGCCTAAGGCTTCTGGTATGAGTTGAATTTCTGAAGAAAGACTGAAGTGTTGGGAAAGACACAGAAAAAGTACTGAATGAGAACATCTTTCTTGCAGCTATAAGTAACTGAATGGGACTGGAGAGAGGGAAGAGGACTGAGTTCAGAACAGGCAGGTGTGTAGAGGCTCCATTGCCAGAGCTGATGAAAATCCGCAGAGTCAACCGGCTGTCCAGCTGTCAACTCATATTTTGTCTCCTGCAGTTAGTAATCAACTGGGGCCAGTGGTGACCAGCAAAAGACAGTCTATTTTAAAGCAATATCTCCAAATGAACTACAGTGATTGTGGCCATGCAAGAATTGGTTCTAGTGTAGCCAGATTATCTCATTCTTCACTAGAATGATATATCCAGAAGCATCATGCCTCTTTAAAAATATTAGGAATCAAGCCAAATTTAAAATACCGTTTCTGGTGACTCATGCCTGTAATCCTAGTCAGTCAGGAAGCTAAGATTTGAGGATTGTGGTTTGAAGCGTACCCAGACAGAAAAGTCTGTGAGATGCTACCTCCAGCCAACCAGCAAACTGGAGGTGTGTTTCAAGTAGTAAGAGTTGGGTTTAATGGCACGGTTGGAACTGTGGTTTTCATTGCTACAACTCAGCTGTGAATTCTCAGTAATGATTTTGCTTTCAACCAGGTGCCAATGGCAGTAATCCTAGCTTCTCGGGAGGCTGAGATCTGAGGATCCTGGGCAGAATAGACCGACAAGTCTGGGAAACTTTTTTTGGTTGTTATTAACAACATTTTGTTAATCCA